TAACCGATTCAATTGATGGATCACTTTTGTGGATGATTTTGATATTTCTTGTCGCGGTAAAATATGCATACTATTGAACGGCAACTGCAGTTGTGTTTAAATAAAATAAATAAATGGTGTCTTGAAAACGGCTTTAAATTTTCTAAATCCAAAACTAATTGTATACATTTCTGCCGTAAATATAAGCCTCATAAGGACCCAGAACTATCTTTAAATGGCACTCCCATCAAAGTTGTAAAGGAGGCCAAATTCTTGGGCCTAATTTTCGATTCTCATTTAACATTCCTGCCACATATTAAATCCCTTAAAGCTAAATGCCTGAATGCACTCGATTTGTTAAAGGTTGTCTCCAATTCAAAGTGGGGAGGGGATCAAACTACCCTCCTTCACTTATACCGATCATTGGTACGATCTAAACTTGATTATGGCTCGATCGTATATGGCGGAGCCTGCAAAAGCAACCTTAAACTACTTGATTCTGTTCACCACCAAGGTCTAAGACTTTGTCTTGGATCATTTAGAACTTCTCCAGTTGATAGTCTCTATGTTGAGGCAGATGAGCCTTCTCTTTCCCAACGCCGTATTAAATTATATTTACAATATATTACCAAACTATATTCTAACGAGTCTAACCCTGCATTTAACTGTGTCTTCAATCCTCTTTATGAGGATTTGTATAACAAAAAGCCTTCTCTTGTTCCGCCTCTTGGGCACAGAATTAAACCATTCATTTCTGCTGCCGAAATTGAGCTCGTCTTCTTTCTTCTCCTCCTTGGCAATTGGTGAGGCCAGACGTTGACTTAACATTAACCACATTTAAAAAATCCGAAACTAATGATTTACAGTAAAAACAAGAATTTAGTCAATTAAGAAATAAATATAATACATATAAATCCTTATTTACAGATGGATCCAAGGATGGTGGCGCGGTGGCTTGTGCCACTGTCATTGGGTCCAAAACAATATCTTTTCGACTACCAAATAACAGCTCTATTTTCACAGCAGAAGCTAACGCCATATTAACAGCTCTTAAATATATAAATAAACACCGTAAATATAAACAATACATCATCTTTTCCGATTCTCTTTCGTGTCTTCAGGCTATTAAAAATCTTTCTTGTAAACATTCACTTTTATTAGAAATTATTGAATTGTACTGGCCAATGCGACATCGTCTTTTGTTGGTTACCCAGCCAAGTTGGCATTTCTGGGAATACAATGGCCGATCTTGCTGCTAAGGCAGCACTCAACAAATCCGTGACACCACTTCTTTTTCCATACTCTGATTACAAAGCTGCTATAAGATCTTATATCCGTGATCTGATGCAAAAGAAGTGGGACAGCAAAGTAGGTATCAATAAATTACATGCAATAAAACCAACTATCGGTTACACCTACTTGGGTTGTCAGTCCAGATTTGAAGAGGTCATCATACGACGATGTCGTATTGGCCACACAAGATATACTCATGAGTACCTATTAAAAGGTGAGCATCCTCCCTTTTGTATCCCTTGTGATGAAAGAATCACGGTCAAGCATGTCGTGCTTGACTGTGTTGAATATTCCATCACAAGGGATATCTATTTCAAATCACAAACTATGAAGGATCTTTTTAGTAATATAAGTTCTCATTTAATTATTGCATTTTTAAAGAATTAAACTTGTTAACTGATTTGTAAATAGATACATATTTTATTATTGGTAGTTTAGATTAGTAACTGAGATTGTTAGTGGCTGTACCCTCAAAGGGGGTTGAAGTAGTGTAAAATTATTGTCCTCCTGAGAGGGTACGTAAGTCCCAAAATGTTCAAAGTCAATTTAAACTTGCCAGGATTTGTAAACGTAGCATTCTTGTCATTTTAATTTTGGCTACCATTTCTTACAATCGCCAACAGCTGAAGGGATGGTGTAAATCCAACTAGGGTCCATGCAGGTAGCCAAGGTACTGTAAGTCCCCATGGTCCCTGGTATGGTGATCTACCTTCTGTTGTTGGCGATCTATAGCCTGTTTTTATATTGTATTGTCCCAATAGTGTTATTCGTTTTAAACTTTCCACGCTAGTTTTAATTCTAATTGTGATATTCTAGTTGTTTTACTGTCCTTCGTCGGCAGGTTTTTTTATAATATACATATATTTCATTTCAATATCAAATGTTCTCGTCACGATATGGCTGAAATATTGCCGATTTGACGTTAAATTTTAACTCACTCACTCACTCACTCAGTATCTGTGACGAGATGCATTTGAGAAAGACATGATAATTATTTATAATAGTTATATGCCTTGGCCTTACACTTCTAAGGAATTGTAAGGAAAAACATGTTATGGAAGAATATATAGGATTAACAAGAAATGATGATTGGAACAACACAGTGATTGGGAGGGAGGGAGACTGTGTTAAGATGAGAAGAATTGAATGTTTGTCGTGGTGTGCATGAACGCGCGCGTGTGTCCCTAAGGACAGAACTTAAACACGCAGAATATGACTTCGTATCATGTCATTATTTTGTATATTCCAATTTTATAGATATGGGATACGCACAAACACACACATTTCGGAACACACAATGATTTTCAAAGGACAGGGGGATACCATTAACATGGAGAAAATATAAACATAACTGAGTGTTATAAAAAGTCCTTATCACGTTATATGCGATTGGAAATTGGAAATAGTCCAGACAAACCAACCGTGTACCGCTATCTCAACCCTGCCAATGGACACATTGATGAGTACTGACACGCACAGGACATAATCCAAGATCAGTATCTCTTATTGTGCTCGTCAGACAGTATTAGTAAACATCGAACATAAACACCCTTGTCAACAATACCTTTTTCAAAATAAATCATATAATTCTGTTGAGATAGAGTTAAAATTCGGGCGAGCAGCCTCATCGTCGTTCTAAGTAGATAATAGGATGTTATTGGTTTTTCTAACATTTGGCAAGGTGAACCACTTTAACACAGACAGATGTTTCCTGTGTTCTTTATTTCTTCATCGACGCACTGCTATTGAATTCATATCACATTTTAACTTAACAAACACCGTTTACCATCATTATTACAGAGTAATTAATGTCATCATCACTCTTATCAAAGCACAGGCACCACATATAGTATACAAACGGTGGCATACAAGCTAAGCATCTAATCAGAAACACCGTTGTCATCAATAACTTTTTCAAAATAAAATATATAGTTCCGAGTAACTGAAGTTCGCAATTGTAACCTCATCGTCGTTCTAATCAGATGATAGGATTACCTAAATTAGCTGCCATTTATATAAATACGGATGAAAGTCAGTCGCAATCATATTACCAAACCATTGAAAGTTTCCTGTGTACGCTAACTATTAAACTACTGAAGTGTGGTGTGAGTGGTAAGATGATTCATGCTATCCGTTCTTTATATGAAAATGTTATCTGTGATGTCAAACTGAATACTTATAACACGGACATATTTACAGCAGGTGTGAAACAGGGATGTAAACTATCACCGACATTATTTGCAATTTACATAAGTGATCTCGATCAAGAAATAAATAATTAGAACTGTGGTGTAAACATAACTGACCAGAGAACCATATCAGTATTGCTATATACAGATGGCATTGTGATATTCTCTCCTGATAAAATACTCTCTGCAACATCTACTGAATATTCTTCATAATTGCACGCTTAAATGGAGATTTTGTACTAATATGTCAAAAATTTAAGCTATGCACTTTAGAACTCCATCTTTAAAGCAATGTAAATGTAAGTTTCACATTGGAGAAAATGAATTGGAATATACTGGTGTTATAAGAGTGTGTGTTTGTAATTTGTAATATCACATTGATTAACTGATAATTATTATGGGTCACAATGTTTAATGTTTTGAGTGTGGGTTTTGGCTCGCTTCAGAGTTGCCTCCCTTGGCAAACTTGTTTATTTACGGCTTTCATCATGCCGTATGTTCCACATAATTCCATAACGTTCTGAGAGAATAATGATGGAGCATAGCTTTGTTAGAATGCTTGAGAACTGTGTAAGAGCTATATAAAGGCTGGTTGTTGCGTTGTGCGACGGACTTTTCACATGACTGGATTTATACACATCTGTCTGCCATCGTCGGAAGACTGACGATGCTTGCCTGCTGTCATTGTAAACAACCGTCAATCAGTATATCTGTTCTCATTGTGAGTGTCAAGACTCTGGTGAGTTAATATTTTATATTTGTGACTCAATTGCATTGTATTAGAAATCTGTATTGTCATTTATTGTAGTTTGCTCATTGTTTGATCAAAATATTATTGAATATTTTAGACTTGTCTGTGTTCTATTTTGCTGGTTCAAATGGGATTCTTAGACCTTTTGTCACGGCACATTATTAACCGTAACACAGGCTCCTACAGATATCTAGGTCTGTGGTTTACAGAATACTGTGATTTACGTTCTGTAGTGAAACAACTCATCAAGTCTGCATCGCGAGCTCTGGGGCATGTGATGGGCAAGTACAAAGTCTTCATTGAGGGGAACTAGTCAAATGGGCCGAAGGACAAAAGGGCCGAGAAGTGCCAAGTCAAAGGGCCGATGGAAAAGTCAAAACGGCCGAGGTGAAAGTCAAATGGGCCGTGACAAAAAGTCAAAAGGGCCTTATTCCTAGTCAAATGGGCCGAACAGAAAAAAAAGTTTGGAAAGGTTGTACATTATTTATTGACACATATAGCATGGGAACATAATACCCCCATAACATTAATGTGAGCGGAGAGGGTTGAGCGTGCTTGCTATGTGTGGGAGACCGGATCGAAATGAGAGGAACAAGTACATTCGTTCATAATTTATACAAGTTCACATACACTTTGGAACGGTTCACTCGCAGGAAGGCGACTTTTTCGGGCGTGTATAAACATTGGCCGTTTTTCGTTTTCGCCTTCGTGCGAAAAGGGTGAACATTTGCAACAATGGGTTCGTGTGTTTATACAAGAACCCTAATCCCAGAGGAAGGCGACAACCACAATACGCTCATGTTCATATCATTCATACATATGTATTCATTAAATCATTATTTGAAATATGTACAAAGTATCATCTAACATGCTAATCATCGTATCATTTTATACTATATTTCACTTAAAATATGTACAAAGTCTCATCTAACATGTTAATCATCTTATCATTTATACTATATTTCACTTAAAGTTCAGTTAAGATGCTGTTCAATTTAAGAACATACGATGCACTGTCTGCATACTCGTACACCGTCATCTGGTTGGAATCCAACTTAATGGTTCCATGTTATCATTGGGAGATTGCCCTCTATCCACGTTGAGGTGACATAGTCTGCCAGACTATGACGTCGACACTGAGTCGAGATACTTTACTATGTAATTTATGAATTTTTATTTTTCGGCCATTTTGACTTTTCATTTCGGCCCATTTGACCTTTAGCCTCGGCCCTTTTGACTTTATTTTTCGGCCCTTTTGACTACAACCCCATTGAAGTAGCTCGTTTGTGGTATAGGCTTGAACGGATGGGGTCAAAAAGGCTCAATAATGCTATTCACCAATGGTCTAAAACTAGAGCAAAATCCTGGGAAACAAAAGTAGTGAACATATTTGAGGAATTTAACCTAATAGATGTGCTGACACTATCAACGCAGAGAACATTCTGGGTGATAAACAATGTTATTAAAAATATCTGTCAAATACTTTTTAACCGAACTGGAGAATTGAAGTAAATAATCTACCAAAATTTAGGACATATCAGTTGTTTAAACATGATTTGTGTACTGAATCCTAAGTCACACTCCCACGGCCGCACAGATCAATTGTCGCATCCCCGAGGTGTGGATCTCTAAAATTAGCCTTAGAAACGGGCACATTCAGCTCCCCTCTAATCCCAGCTGATGAACGTTATTGCAAACTCTGCAACACTCAGAGTGTAGAAGATGGGAACCATTTTGTCACATGTTGCCCGCCCTCCAGTGACATCAGATATCAACTTCACTCTCAATTATCCAGAGAAGTGCCTGAATTTGATTTTTGGACTCCGACGGTGATCTATTTAATTCAAAATATGTATTTTAATATAGCCCAAACAAGTTTTAAATGTTTAAGAAGGAAATGTTTATTTAGTAATATACTTCTGTTATTACTTGCTTCTTAATGTACCTATTTTATATCAAAACGTATATGTACAAACTGTGTGTGGTTGAGTGTCAACGTACAGTCTAAGGACTGTATATGTGCATGTATGTACAGCGTTATGAATAGTGTGTTGTATGCTTTGAGCTATGTACAGTGTTGAACTGTGTGAAGTATGTTATGCTTATAGTGGTGTTATGTTATACCTCTAGCATTCTGAATGATCAGATGTCATAATTTATATTTGGCAGTGCAGAATATGACATTTTGTAGCATGTATCCAAGCATGTATGTATGTATGTGTGTGTGTGTGTGTGTGTGTGTGTGTGTGTGTGTGTGTGTGTGTGTCTGTGTGTGTGTGTGGTGTGTGTTGTATGGTTATGTTTAATGAATAGTCATCTTCTATAGCGCACAAATAGTCTCCAAACACCAAGTGATTGCTCGCGGCGCTTTATAAGAATCTGATTATTATTATTACCCTGGATAACCTAAGCTGCCTGTTAGGCGCTAGAAGGTTATAGTCACATGACTTTATCCAACAGAGGCAATTTTGAACAAAGTCACGGTGAGACTACATGTGCTTGTTGTGGCGGAGGACTGAAGTCCTAGAAACTCTTTGTTTGTGAAAATATTTGTATCTGAAACTGGAAACTGCCGGAAACCAACAAGGTTAGTTTCTGGCTACTGGAAACTGCCGGAAACTAAGAAAGTTAGTTTCCAGAAAAAGGAAACTTACAGAAAAGTATCATTGCATAAAGCAACTGGAAACCATCATTGATGGGAACTTGCATGAAACGAACGTAGAGGAAATTACTTTGACTCAATATATACCAGTATATACAGCATATATCCAGAAACCTACAGTAACCTACGTTAAACTGTCTATGTATTACATGTATATAGGTTTCAGTTTAGTGATCTCAGTGTTTCTGTACACCAGAATTCAAATAAAAGATATTGTCACATGAAACAAGATTAATTTCAGGAAATGTTAAACCTAATTGAAAGAATATGGAAACTTAGATTCTACTTTGTCTGCTTTACTTTTTGTTAGGTAAACTTACAGATACCTTAAACTTATAAATTACTGAGGAATCGGTAAGGCTCCATTAGGTTTCAGTTACCCATTGGCTTTCCATTTGTAATGTTTCTCAAAGTGATGCATACTAATACAACTAACTGGGAGTGGTTATGCACATTACACATAACTGTAATAAAAAGGGCAATATTTTCGCAAATGTTCAATAAAGAACATAATACAGGCCGCAACAAAATATACAGTAGACTTATAGACATAAAATATATTTAAGTTTAACTTCATCTGCCAGTAGTGAATACTGTTAGGATTGAAAGAAAATGAAGTCAATGAACGTTTTGCCTTTTAATTATAGCATTATCATTATTAATCCAATATTATATTTATAAGCACTTTGGAACCTAATAAATTTATAAAAATGACTGTAATTTCTAGATATGTTATAGAGTACCTAAAATATAACGGAATCATATTTCACACACATTTGCCCTAAATTGTGTGACTTAGTACATGTTGTCTGTCTCGCCTAGTGGAATGATTTTGTTGAATGCTACAAGAAAATAAAAATAAAATACAGACATTAAACTTAAAACAACTAACGTTTTAACAAAACTAATGGGCTATTACCTTGTTCGAGAAATGTATCCATCAGTATCCACATAATGGAACGATATGCCATTCATCTGCAGCTGCACAAAACCTGTCCCATGTCACGTGACCGTGTTTCATTGGACACCAAAGATAATACACCTGGCAATTTTTATATAATGTCCACAATTCTTTAAAAATCAAATATTGTCGGTTAATCCTCGAAGGAAGGTGGCTGTGTTTACACGACAGAATGTGGGTGTATTCAGTGATGTCTTATCTGGAAGTAGACCTTTGTTATTACAGTGAAAATCCTTTGATGTTGGAGGGCTGACGGTGCATAAGGTTTTAAGGGATTAGCTTTCTGACCTACCTAACGAAAGAGGTAACCCTTGTTCACTTACATAATGAAAATCAATGAATTTGACCTCACTTAGCTTGTTTTGACAATCATTGATTGTCATTAATTGATATGAGTAAGCACCAACTCATCAATTTGGGTACATAATATGCTGGCCATACTTTCAAATTCATCACTTTCATTATGGCAAAACAGCAGGTACATCTGTAGAGTAAAAGTTTATTCCGACTTCATGAGGTGGAAGATATCTATGTATGGTACACTTTAGAGAAATGCTGCATCTTGGATGTCCTGGGTATGTTGTAGAGACTCAGCTGTTCCACTGTCGATGATATAGTCACCAAACATCCTGACATACGTAACCACAAACGTGTCAACAATGATTGAAAGGTATAAATATCCGCTGTGACAATAAATACAACAGATAACATAAATATATTTTACAATGCCATTGATGATTTGTCTGCAGGCAGAATAAGTGTAATTGCAATTTGCAGACGCAGTTTCATACTTAATGAAACTGCAGTGGTAGACTGGATGCGTACTATGTACATGTATTATGAAATTGTTTTATCATGATGCTGATTAAAATAATTTGTGCTAAGATGTCACTTTAATGAATAAAGTAAAATATTCTCTAAAATCTGGTATTTTCTACGTATATCACTTCGTTGTACAATTTATTTTATTTTCAACTTGGGAATTTAGTGTTACCTGCATGCTTATCATCACAGATTATGTCCACTGTCTCTCCAAATGCGGTCAACTTGAAAATCCCTGCGTGACGCCCTTATTGTTATTATATAAACATCATAAATGTCTACTTCACAGTAATAAACCACTCAGTACATACGTTAGTAACTCTTCAAACAACCCTACCTTTGACGGGGCCCTTTTGACAAATACGGCGCAAAAGATAAAAGTAATAAATCAATTAGCGTGTTATCGGTTAATTCTTACATCTCTGTTTGTTTTTTAACTCAGCTGATAGTTCCCTTTGCTGCACCTCCATGCATATATTACATAACATGTAGTACATAAGACCTTAATTTAAAATGTTGAATATTTAGTGCAGACATGAGAAATGCTAAATGGGAATCTTGTCGGGTAATCTGAGTGATGTTACCACTTATTATACCTGTTATAAATTCAATTAACTGACCATCAAGTGAATGATGACAAATAAACGGTTGTAGGTTTATATCTCCAAACGCGGTTACAGCAAGGAGTAGTAATCGCTGTATTGCATGCAGTATTAATTGTCTACAAAATCTAATACGCTGTGTGGTTTTAAAAAAATAATAGGTCATCAAACATCACATTGTTTCTTGATATGATTAAATATCGAGGCAAAAAACACAGAAATAGGATCAAATTGGATCGGTCATCATATGATCAACGCATCGGAAAATCTGAAAAAAGGTTTACACTGCTGGGGTACTTTTATTACGGGAAATACATCCAACCGTTCTTATTGTATCACTGTTTAGGTTGAAGAAATTCCTGCCAAGGTGACAGCTGCCCAGTCCCTTAGTCCGTCACGGTCGAGGGAGCAGGTGCTGCCCACCTGGCAGTCAGACCGCGTAATTAAAATTGTTGTCCCGAAACCGGCGCTTGATTTGAAATGAATGAGGCCCCGCGAGATGTGCTCACTGTGTAAATTATAAATAATCACATATATACTCATGCCAATAATGGTAGACACACACCCTTCACTCCACCGTTCACGTCACGTTCGATATACAGCATCAATACGGATTACATGTTGCATTTAACAAAAACAAATTGTAAAATCATACAGTGATTGTTTTTTATTGAACTGACAAGGCCACCACTAAAAAATACGGAGGCATATAACTGTTATAAATATTTATAATGTAATTCGTCAAAAATACTGAGGTGTAATGCAAACAGGCGTCGATTGTCTGTAAAATGTTTTGTTTTGCATGTTTTCCAACAAACTAAGTTACACTCATTAATGTGAAGTATCTGCAGAATTGCTGCACATATGCATTTGTGAATTGTATATTTTGAATATTATATTATCACAAGGTGATTTGAAGTATTTGGCATATGTTTGCACTTTATGACAGAAACATTTTACAGGTATTCTAAAATAATAGGAGATCTTTCGGTACTATTTTGAAGACAATTACAAAATTTGTTACACAAAATATTTTAAAACTGGATGTTACTGCACAACAGAAATGTATTTGTAGCCATAATACATCACACTAGAAATTACCGTCTGTGGA